CCTTTTCTAGTTTTGTAATTCTTCTTGGCTTTTTCAGAACAGAAATAGCAGTAGCATGTGATATTTTGGCTCACTGAGAGGGTGAGGGGTTTTTAATTAGAGGCCATTTTCTGCAACTGAAAGTACTCAAAATATGTAGTTAAATCTTGTTCAAAGTTGAGAGTGAAGGATGCTGAGAGATAAAGCTGCTCTAGGGGACAAAAGGCTAGTAGAAAAACTGAGTGGTTTTAGAATAAAATGGTTTCTTTTTGTTAGTGTTTTTAGGTGTTCTTTGATAAAAATGTCAAATCCTGGCTGCTAGCAACAAAGACATTCATTGATATGTGCTTGAGTTAACTAAGTAATATTCTGACTTATGTGGATTTCATCCTCACAAAGTGGTGGTGAGGGGAGGGAATAAGTACAAAAAATTATAAAGCATGAAGAGAGGGGAGGTAGCATGTAGGACAGGTCTTCACTATACATTACTTCTTGAATATGGTACAGAATTCAAATGCCTGAGTAGGAATGTAACTTTCTCCATAATCAAACCTTTCAGCACAGAATTCAAATGCCTGAGTAGGAATATAACTTTCTCCATAATCAAACCTTTCAGAGGGAACAATGCCAAATATTCATTTAAAGCTATAGTTTTATAGGATAAAGGGCAGCTTAGAAAAGGAGATTGAAAAATCTCTAGTTAACCATAAACATAATTTACTGTAGAGGTATTTTGTTTCCTTACCTACAGAGTGTGACACAGGTTATCTTGGTGAATTTTTAAACAAAAATTAGTTTTTGTAAGGCCTTAAAAAAAACCCCAAGTTGTTTTTATTTTGCCACATAAATTTGGAGTGTTTTCACAGTGAAATTGAGTGGCAGAATCAGAAGTGTCAAAATTAATGAACAGGTGATGTTAATATAGTAAAAATAACACTTTAACATTTAAAAAAACTCCTGGGATTGCTTCTAAAATAGTAATTTCTATTAGTACAGGGAGATAATGGTGTTGTAATTGGTTTTCTTTAATACACACATTTTAAGTTAGCAGCCTATTTTGCATTATCTTGTCTTCCCCTGTTACAACCAGATGTGTTGCTTTCCTAGAACAGTGCTCATGGGATTGCTTAGTAAAAGCCTTGAGCTTGGTTCCCAGCAGGTGCTGATCTCAACACCTTGTTGTTAAGGGCAAGTAATTGTATGATAAAATAAAGAGGCATTTTGGATTACCAGCACCATCTCAATTAAGCATCCAATGGGGAGCTCTGTGGCAGCAGGAAGAGAACCTTAAAGAATTAGTGCCATCACTCCTTAGTACACACAAAGTAACTTCCAACAATTTTCCACCTCTCTGACTCTAGAAATCACATGTAACGAGCAGACACCTACCTTGATATTAGGGACCAGTTTTTAGGTGAATATATCTTCCATTAGAGTTCTCCCTGTGTATTTGACACCAATGATTCTACAGCTTATGCTGTTTAAAAACTGAAGCTCAAACCATAGCCCTAACCCTTAAACTGAATAAACTTGGAGTATCGAGACCTGCGTTTAGATTTCCTCTCAAAAATACATTAAATTTGTGAGTAGTATTCACATAGGCTGGGCAAATTCAATGTGCCTATTGAAATTTTACAGAACTATAATAATATTTGAAAATATTTTGGTGTAACTCAAGATTTTATCTTAATTTTAGCGGTCTTATTTTTCAGGTTTGGTTTCTTTTTTCAAGTATGGGTTATACAGATTTGAGGTCTGTTGTGGCCGTAAAATTAGTCTACTTGCTGTGTTAGCCTTTAATAGTGTATTCCCACCTACAACTGCAGTAACACAGCTTGAAGGGAATTTAATTAGGAAAATGAGGCAGATGAAATAGGCGATGTAATGTATATCTGCAATATGAAGAAGAGTAAATACACTTTTCATCTGAATAGTCAGAATAGAAACGGTGTTAAACTGGGCTGAAATTTAATCAGAAATGGATTTCTTTCATTTTCTAACATTACTATGTAATTGTCCTTCTTATTACTGGGGATTAGAAAGACTACTATCATTAAAGAAGAAACATCTTTCACCAATTGTATTTAGTTTCTGGTTTATCTGGCATTGACCTCCTCTTTATGTGAAAAATGGAAATCCCTGGAAGAAGAGACTTAGTGCAGTGATTCTAATCCACTGGGAGACCTTGTGCACACACTATTTGCATCTCCTGACCTGCACCTGTGCTGCATTGATTCC